GTTTTTTGTTTTTTGTTTTTTTTACAGCCAATGGATGCCATTTTAGAATAAAATGAACTAGAAAGGTACAAATTTTAACACTGAAATTAACTGTTAAATGGCAGAAAAACCTAGTATACATATTTTTGTGAGTCAAAAAAAGCCAGCGAGTAGCTCTGCCCAGTTATCACCAAATAAGTAAGTTAATGCTGTTATTTCATGAAAGTTTCAAACATCATTTCCCTTCAAGGGACAGAAGAGAAGGGCCCAAGAAGGAGCCCTAGCTGGAGGGGTCAGAGCTCTGCCCACCAGTTCAGTGTGTCGGAGCAAAGAAGTCTCATGCACCCAACAGTTCACCTGTAAAATAACGAGGTTATTTACCCTTCCTTCTGCCCCGCACCAAAACCCACCGTCCCTATGTCGTTCTACTTAACCACTCTGCCATTTTTCAGTACATGTGTCCTCGTTATGCTCTCTCTCCTGGGTACCCAAGTCAGTTGACCGCTCTTAAATTTTTCCACTGTACTTTGTCCCATACACTCAGGCGATCTCAAAGGGTCTTTTCCGATGTTACCTTATCCGAACAGAGAGGGGATACATGTTTAGAGTTAGGGAGAGAGCCTGGGTCGCCAGGATGGGCCTCTGGAGGCACAACACGCTCCAGGATAATCCCAGCAGCCAGGCATCACGTTCCCGGAGGGAAAGAACCCAAGTTCAGATGCTTTCTAGAAACGGATTACATGCTTCTACCGGTCTGCGAAGCCAGAAGGCAAAGTATCACGAAAAGGTATTTCAGGCTATGAAAACAACTGCCTACTCACTTTAAAAACAACACGCCCAGCTTGTCAGTCATTTTTCCCAATATCCAGGTGAGTTAAACTCAGAGATGTTACCCACCTGCTCAGAGAACGAGTGATTCGGTTTGTATGGGAAGAAACATTTGCGCTGTAAAAACCACAGGAGTCGTTTTGATTTTGCAGAGAGCAGGGGCAGGGGCGCCCGGCAGAGGAGTTTCTCAGGTTTTAGATCGCAATCTCCCGGTCATCTCTCCCAGGCGGTTAAAGGACCGCGGTGGTGACTGCGCTGGCGTGGACGCCACCTCGCGGGGCTCTGACTCCTCCCAGCCGATAGGGGGCGCCCGCAGCCGCACCTTTCCCGCCAGCTCGTCGGGCGCTCCAGCCCGGCTCGCGCAGCCGCCTCCGTAGCCCTGAGGGCCGTTCCTCTTCCGGGGCAGTGCGGAGACGCGTGCGGGACCCGGATGCAGACGTGAACGCAGCTATATAAGTGCCGCGCAGGCCGCACGCCTTTCTCTTTGAGGAAGACGCGGTCGCAGCCGGAGCGGTGCTTTGGAGGCCCCCGCGCCTGCTCCTGACTCACCGCTGTTCGCTCTCGCCGAGGAACAAGTCGGTCAGGAAGCCGCGCCGCAGCCATGGTGAGACGGGGGGCGGCGCCGCGCGGTTCGGAACGTGGCGGGACTTGGTCCCTTCCTGGGACGCTTGCCGGGCTGGGCGGAAGCGGCGAAGGCGCGAGCCTCGCTTACCCGAAAAAGGGGCTCCTGAAGTGGTGGAGGAGCCTGGGGAGACGCGATGAAGCGTGTTTCTAGGCTTTTAAAAGATCTGTGTTCATCTGTGTAATGCTAGGCTTTTAAAGACACCGGGAAGACCCCCGTGGAACCGGAGGTGGCGATTCACCGAATTAGAATCACTCTAACCAGCCGCAACGTAAAATCTTTGGAGAAGGGTCAGTACGGTGGCTCTGGGCAAAAAAATAAATAAGTAAATAAATAAAAAACGATGAATTTGACTTGTTGCTGTACAGGATCGACTCGGAAAAGTCAAGTGACAAGTTGTTTAACGTAGAAAGGGAAGATGAGAAGCATCCCCCCCTTAACTGTTGGTGCCTCTTAAATCCTTGTTGGCGATGAGGAGACAATAAGTGTGTTGAGTTATGATGATAGTTTTATACGCTATTCTGAGCCAGCATCAGTTCAGATTTCTTAGGGCTGCTTCGGCTGTTTTGGACGAACTGAAAGATGCTTTTATTTCCCTGTAGTGTGTGCCGACTTGATCAGAGGCGCCAAGGAAAAGAATCTCAAAGTGAAAGGACCGGTTCGGATGCCCACCAAGGTGAAATGAGTCAGAGGGGTGGGAAAACCACACAACCCGAAAGAAAAGCGGTTAGAGTTTGTTCCCGTTGAGTACCGGGTGTTTACAGGTAGCTGTGGAAGTTTTGCGCTTCTGTTCCTGGGTGGGTGCGGCGCTCGTAAGGGCACCGTGCGGGCTGAGTGGACACGGACTTGCCCTTGCAAGTTGGTGCCAGGGGAGGAGCGATGCTCCGGGGAGTAATCCCAGGGAATGGGCGTGATGGTCTTCCGGATGTTCTAGAGAGCAGCGTAAAGCCGTAAATGCTTGGTTTCCTTTGTCTTTTGTTGCAGACTCTGAGAATCACTACAAGAAAAACTCCTTGTGGTGAAGGTTCTAAGACTTGGGATCGTTTTCAGATGAGGATCCACAAGCGGCTCATTGATTTGCACAGTCCGTCTGAGATTGTTAAACAGATCACTTCCATCAGTATTGAGCCAGGAGTTGAGGTGGAAGTCACCATTGCAGATGCTTAAATCCGCCTTTTAATAAATTGGTTACCAGTTAAATCTCGTTGACTTTCATTCGTAATGCCATCAGATTTTAGGAATATGCGTTTGTGCCACGAAGTTTAGTCCATCTTGCAGGTAGACTGGTCAAAATTAGGTGAATGTCCTGGGGTGGTCTCGCTTGTTCTCATTAGGTCTCTTAGAGGCCACTGAAGCCGTTCGCACTTGACATCACTTGAGAACTGAGTTGTATTCACGCAGCGCGTGAAGTCTTAAGGATTGACGAACCTACGGCTGCATATTGGAGCTTTTTCAAAGGATGTGTCTGGATCCTACCCCCAAATTCTAAATTGATGGATCACAGGGTGCTGCAAATCTAAAGTTTCTGGGATGCAGCTATGACTTGAGAACCTAATGTATTCTGGTGGGTAGGTAACGTGGGAAACAGTAAGTTCTGCCAGTTAATGTTATTCCTCTTGAAGACCAGGCTAAAGAGTAAACAGATGTTTTGGGAACATTTGCGGTTTTGCAGGCAGGTGTTTTATATTTTAGAAGAATGGGTTGAAAAAAGTAAACCTGGTATTTGTTAGCGTTTAGGTTATATCTATAAAAGTATTTTATATATATAGTCCTTGGAGTTTTCATTTGATACGTAGACCATTTAACATGGAGCTATGCTGACATGTAGTTTATATATAAATACTAGTTAATTTTAGGAGTGAAAAGCATGTCCTGTAGGCCAAATTTATTTAGCCAAACCCTTATTGGCACAGTAATGGATAACGTGTAGCTATCAGGCTCTGTTAGTGCTTTATTTTCTTGAATGTGTCTCAGGGGAGAATGCTGATGTTCCAGTATCGAGATTTTTTGCTTTTTGAAATTTATAATCAGATGGATATCTTCAATAGTCTAGTTTTCTACTAGAGAAAATTGCCAAAAATATATTGACAAACATTTTTGCAAATTACAAAATGCCCTGAAAGTCATCATGATTGTATTTGCTATGCTTACTAGGATAACAGTGATGAAATTAACGCCTTTCCTCTAGGTTTGGGCTTGGACCTTCACTTTGCTGCACTATCTTGTCCACTGTCTTCAGTTAACTATGTGCATTCAAATTGAACTTGAGCTCAGATTGCTCCCTACATCCAGTAGTGTGCTAGATAACCTGTGCACCTCCCAAGCTCAAACCGGACATGCCTAAAATGGAAATCTCTCCCTGCTCAAAACCCTTCTCTTAGACCTCAACATTTTGAACTGAAGGGATTTGAGTGGAACTGACAGGAACGAATTATGCCAAGCTGATGAACTCACAAATTCCAGTAGTTTAATTAGTTTGGGAAACTAAAAAATTTAACTTTAATAAACATTGGCCATAAACATTCTACTTGAAGAGTTAAGCAGGGAGTCTAGTTAAGTTTCCTGGGGTAAGCAAGCAGTGAGTGATCCATTCTTTACAGAGAGGCTGGTGTTCTTGGTTTAGAAGTGAAGGAATTCTTGATCAGAATCCAAGTAGTGAGCTCCTGACCTGTCCTCTAACCCAACTTTAAGATTTCTCTACATTGGGGACCCCTGCTAAGAGCTGTTTACTTATCAGTTAAGATCATTTTAATATTCAGTCTCTGGTAATTTGTGGCCTTCACACAAATACCTACAAGTTTGTTTTGATGATCAAAGTATTGCAGCATAGAAGTCTCTGGAATATACTCAATATCCTGAGAATTGTTTGAAAAGCGATCTTCTGTGAAAATGTTGAAGTCATTTAGGACTAAAGAACAGGTTGGTTGTGAAAAGTGTGCCTCAGTACATCGGAAAATGTTGAAAACCGCTTTATGGCCTCCACGACAGTTGTGAATTTTAGGTGATGTGCCAGAGTAACTAATCCGTGAGCGTTTGTGAAGTTTCCCACCCAGTTGGAGCTGTCTTTAAGTTACAGCTATTTAGAGAGCCTGTGATACAGCCAAAACACAGCACTTAAAATTTGGGGAACTGCTGTTGTCTTCCATTCCTCAAACATTTAAAAACATCTGTAGTACTTGGAAACAAAACCCATGCAGGACCTTGGGATATTTAGTACTGACCTAAAGATAGGTTAAATAGTGGTTGTGGTGCCAGTGAGCCTTAGAGGCCAATTGTATGGATTAGGGATGTAAAGAAACATGAAGTTGGGAGGCCTCTCCTGTCCTAAACCTCATTTCCTTTGGATTTACAGAGTACTCACAACTGTGAGCTGTAAACATAAGGCAAGAGAAACCACCCTGGCTGTGCGTTTGCTGGATCACATGTCCTCACCTGACATTCCTAAGTGCAGGTGTACAAGCTCTGTGGATATAAAGTCAACAGGCAAGAGAACGTAGAAGTAGAAATTCTTGGCCGTGAGCAGTCAGATCTGCAAACGTCATTATTTGGATAAGTGGGCTTGATAAGATAGTGCTAACTATACAAAGAACCTGGCCAGGCCAAAGCTTTATTTTTTCGAAAATAAGAGGAGCCAAATTAATAGTTTACTTCATTCCAGGAATAGTATAGTTCACTTATATAGCAAGTTCAACTTTTAGAACGAGAGAAGGGAATCCTTCCATACATTTTGTTCTGTAAACTTTTTTTCTTTACATAGAACCTACCCTAAGAGGTATTGTTAATATTGTATTATTCAAAACTTCTCATGTACATAAAAGTGTATGTAATCATAATCTCTTTATATAAAGTCTATATCTTTAAAAAATACAAATGAGAATACTAAATGTAAATTATTTTTATCATATATCTGGCAGAAGTTCCTATATCAGCACATAACTTCATTTCTTTTAATGAATGTTGCATTATATGGATACACCTGAATTTAGTTAAATAACCAGAATTTATTTGATAATTATTCATTTGAAGAATTATTTAAGAACATTTACTATATTCAGGTAAGACTTTGTCTAAGTCACTTGGATTCCACCTTGATTCCACTCTTAGTCTACGTTTTCACATAATTATGTGAACTATCGGAATCTTAATTCAGATGGTTTTCAGCCAGTTCTCGGGATATTGAATGTATTCCAAAGACTTTGCTGCAATATACGTCAATCATCAAAACAAGCTTGTAGGTATGTATACAAGAGAAGAGATAAAAGAGAAATAGATATTTCTGTCCTAAGATTCCAGAATTTTTAATTTTAAGTTGTTACCAAATTGGTGCCCTTGAATGATTGCACCCATTTATATTCCTACTAGTAGTGGAAGTGCAATAACGTCCATCTGGTGGACAAAAAAAAATGTATCCGTATTTTATCTCTGCCCTCCATTTGTTGAGTTTCTCTTTCTGGGGCTCCTATTGATTGGGTGACCTGGAGGTCCTGTATGTTAGCTTTCTTTCACAGGCTCTTTTAGTCTTTTTTAATTTTACAGTGTGGGATTATTTCTTTGACTTTCTCATCTAGCACTTTTATTGATTTAATTTTTCATTTTGATAATCTTGAGGTTTGTTTTTTTTTAACTCGTCCATTCTGGTAAATTTCAAACATAGAAGTAGAGGGAATGGTATAATGAATCCATTCAGCTTTAAGAACTGTCCACAGTTTTCATGTATAACTTCATTCTCTCCCCCAACCAACCTTCAAATTATTTTGAAGTTAATCCCAAACATATTATTATATATACACATTTTTCAGTGTCTAAAGGACTCTTAATTATTACTTTGTAATTATTTACCTTGTTTTTTCAGTTTAGTATGTGTTAAGTATGTTCACTTTGCTGTGCAACAGATCTCCAGAAGTTTTCCATCATGCGAAACAAACAATACCCACTGAAAAACAACCCCCATTCTCCCCATCCCTAACCCTTGCCAACTACCATTCTGATCTTTGTTTCTATGAGTTTGACTACTTTAGATACTTCATAGAAGTGAAATCCTACAGTATTTCTTTGTGACTGGCTTATTCCATTTAGCATAATGTCCTTAAACTTCATCTTTGTGCTGTATGACAAGATCTCCTTTTAAAGGCTGAATATTTCATTGCATGTACATACCACATTTTATTCATTTATCCCTCAATGAACATTTGAGTGGCCTCCACCTTTTGACTATTGTGAATAATGCTGCACTGTACACAGGAGTATTAATACTTCTTCCAGATCTGGCTCTCGATTCTTTTAGGTAAATACTCAGAAGTGGGATTGCTGGATCATATGGCATAACTTTGTATTTTTCATTTTTTGAGGAACCTCCATTACATTTTCCATAGCAGCTGCACCATTTCACGTTCTCACCAAGGGTTCCAATGTCTCCACATCCTTGACAACACATTTTCTGTTTTGGGTTTTTAATTTGTTTTTTTGTTATAGTAGCTATCCTAATGGGTGTGAGGTGGTACCACACTGTGTTTTGATTTGCATTTCTCTAATGATGAGTGAAGTTGAGCATCTTTTCTTACACTTGTTAGCTATTTCTGTATCGTTTGAGAAATATCTATGCAAGTTATTTGTCCATTTATTAATCAGGTTATTTATGTTCTTATTGGGTTGTAGGAGTTCTTTCTATATTCTGAATATTTAACTCATTATTATGCGATTTGCAAATATTTTCTCCCATTCTATAGGTTGCCTATTCACTGTTGATTGTTTCCTTTGATGTGCAGGCTTTTTTTAAGTTTGATACAGTCCCATTTGTCTACTTTGCTTTTGTTGCCTATGCTTTTGGGTGTCGTATCCAAGAAATCATTGCCAAATCCCTTGTCATGAAAACTTTGTTTTCTTCCGGGAATTTTGTAGTGTAGGTATTAGTTTAAATATTTTTCTGTGTGAGACAGAGCATGCATATGTGCAGGGCCAGGGCAGAGGGAGAGGGAGAGAGAATATCTTAAGCAGGCTCCATGCTCAGTGCAGAGTCCAATGTGGGGCTCAACCCCACCACTGAGAGATCGTGACCTGAGCCAAAATCGAGTGGGATGCTTAACTACTGAGCCATCCAGATGCCCCTAGTTTAAGTCTTTAATTTTGAGTTAATTTTTGAATATGGCTTCCCAGTTTTGCATGTAGATATCCAGTTTTTCCAGCACCATCTGTTAAAGAGACTGTCCTTTCCCCTGCTGTGCATTCTTGGCACCCTGATTGAAAATCATTTGACCCTATACATGAGGGTCAAGGCATCCTTGCATTCCAGGAAAAAAATCCCTCTTGGTCATGGTGTGTAATCCTTTTAATATGCTGATGAGTTTCGTTTGGTACTATTTTGTTGAGGATTTTTGCGTCAGTATTCATCAGGGATATTGGTCTGTAGGGTTTTTTTATTAAGGTATAATTGACATATAACAATAGTTTCAGGTGTGTAAGGTAATGATTTAATATTTGTATATATAGTCTGTAGTTTTCCTGTAGTGTCTTTGGCTTTGGTATTGGAGTAATGCTGTCCTTAAGAATGAGTCTGGAAGTATTCCCTTCTCTTTGGTTTGTTAGAGGAGTTTGAGGATTGGTGATAATTCTTCTTTAAATGTTTGGTAGCATTCCCCAGTGAAGCCATCTGATCCTGGGCTTTTCTTTGTTGGTAGGTTTTGATTACAGATTTAGTCTCCTTACTAGTCTGTTTCAATTTTTTATTTCTTCATGATTCAGTCTTAGCGCGTTGTATATTTCTAAGAATTTATCCATTTCCTATGGGTTATCCAGTTTGTTGGCATGTAAGTGTTCATAGTATTCTCTCATAATCCTTTTTGGGGTTTTTAAAAATATTTATTTATTTATTTATTTATTTATTTATTTATTTATTTATTTATGAGATGGAGTGGGGGAGGGGCAGAGACAGGGGGAGACACAGAATCCAACACAGGCTCCAGGCTCTGGGCTGTCAGCCAAGAGCCAACATGGGGTTCAAACTCACAAACTGTGAGGTCATGACCTGAGCCAAAATCAGTGCTCAACCAACTGAGCCACGCAGGTGACCCAATCCTTTTTGGTTTTGTGGCATTAGTTGTGATGTCCCAGGTTTCAATTCTGATTTTAGTTATTTAAATATTTTTTCTTTTTTTGAAATTAATCTAGCCAAAGGTTTTTAAATTTTGTTGATCTTTTCAACAATCCAATTCTTAGTTTTGTTGATATCCCTATCAGGGTTTTTTTTTATTCTCTATTTTGTGTATGCTCTCATCTTTAGTATTTTCCTCATGCTAACTTTTGAGTTTCTTTTTCTTTCTCTAGTTGAGATGTAAAGTTAGATTACTGATCTGAGACTTTCTTAATGTTTACACCTACAATCTTCCCTGTTGGTACTGTTTTCACTTTATCTCATACATTTTGAGTTAACAGATCTTGTGTGTCTCATTTAGCCTGGAACGGTTCCTTGGTGTCCCTTTGACCGTCATGCCCCTGACGCTTCTGAAGGTTCCAGGCACTGAAATTTGGATGCGTGGGCTGCGGCACCTCATTCGGGGCTGCCTCCTGCAAGCGTGCCCTCCTGCCCGGAGACCCTCCACTTGGGCCGGACGCCCCAAGCCCGGCTGCCCTTGCCATCGCAGTGATGCCACCTCACCCTGCTCGGGCTCCGGCACCCTGGCACCGGGGCCCCCACCCAGGCAGCACCCCTCACCCCACTGAGGCGACAGCACCTTGCGCTGGGCAGCCCCTCCACGGACACCCACCTCACCCTGCTCCGGTGCTGACAGCCTGCAATGCGAACGTCGCGGCGCCCCACTCCCCGGGCGGCTGGTCTCACACAGAGGCTGACTTGCTCAGGGGGAGAGGGATCACGGGAAAAAGAACAAGCTTCAGATGGTGTTCAGAAACGCGTTTTAGTATCTGTCTGTACGTGAGTCGTAGCCGAACCAGCTGACGAACTGAAGTCCTTTTACTTAAGCAGAAAGCACAAACCGTAAGCACAAAAGCGTTCTCGTTTACATCATGAATCCCAAAGGAGTATTTTGAAGTGTTAAAACGGGTGGTCACATTTGACTGTGATTATTTTAAAAACATGCGCAGAGAATTCACTCAGTCTTCAACATTTTCTATGTATACACAAAAATGAAACCAATAAAAATTATCGTGTAAGACATTTAAATTAGTAAGCTGTTATTATATAATTTGGGTTCCTGTTTTATAATGATGTGTTAGTGTTCTCCAGAGAAACAGAACCAATAACTTCTATATACATGACATTTATTGAAATATATGAAATTTATTGTAAGGAATTGGCTCATGTGATTATGAATGCTGACTAGTCCCAAGATCTGCAGGGTGAGTCAGCAAGCAGAGACCCGGGAGAGCCAGTGGATTAGTTCCAGTCTCAGTCCAAAGGCCGGAGAACCAGGAGCAATAACGGTATAGTTCCAGTCTGTAGGCCCATAGGCTGAAGATCTGGAAAGAGACAACGTTTCGGTTCAAGTCTGAAGTCAGGAAAAAGCCAGTGCCCCAGCTCAAAGTCAGGTAGGAGGAAGTCCCTCTTACTCCCAGGAGGGTCAGCATTTTTGTTCTATTTGGGCATTCGAGTGATTGGGTGAGGCCCACCCATGTTGGGGTGAGGGGCAATCTGCTTTACTCAGTGTACTGATTTAAATGTCAATCTCAGGGCCACCTGGGTGGCTCGGTCTGTGAAGCGTCTGACTTCGGCCCAGGTCGTCATGTCACAGTTTGTGAGTTCGAGCCCCGCATCGGGCTCTGTGCTGACAGCTCAGCCTGGAGCCCGCTTCAGATTCTGGGTCTCCCTCTGCCTCTGTCCCTCCCCCCTTCGCACTCTGGCTCTGGCTCTCTCTCTCTCAAAATAAATAAACATTAAAAATTTTTTTTAAATGCCAGTCTCATCCCAAAACAACCTCACAGAAGCACCCAGAATAATAGTAGCCCAAATATCTGGGCCCCTCGTGAGATGTCTAGTCAAGTAGACATATAAAAATTAACCATCACAAATGGCAAGCTGCATGTTCCTACAGGAAACCCTCTCGTGATTACTGCCAGTCTAGACCACCATCCCTTCTTTTTTTTTTTTCCTCTTTCACCTATAACCTAAAGTTTAACATCTTCCTGTTTTTAAGTATGCAATTCAGTAGTGTGAAATATACTCACATTGTGGTGAAAGCAGATCTCCAGAACTTTTTCATTCTGCAAAACTGAAACTCTATACTCATCACACAACGACTCCCTTTTCCCCCACCTCCTGGCCCCTCGACCACCGTGCCACTTTTCTGTTTCTCAGAGTTTGACTATGTCGGATACCTCACAGAAATGAAATCATAACGGTATTTGTCAGTTTGTGACTGCCCATGTCATTTAACATAATGTCCTCAAGGCCCACCTACGTTGTAGTATTTGACAGGATTTTCTTTCTTTTTAAGGCTAATATTCCGCTGTGTGTACCACATTTTCTTTCTCTATTAATGGACATTTTGGTTGTTTCTACTTCTTGGCTACTATGAATAGCGTTGCTATGAACATGGATGTGCAAGCAGTTCTTCAAGACCCTCCTTTCAGTTCTTCGGGGTAAATTCCCGAAGTAGGATTGCTGGATCGTATGGTCTACCATTCACTTCTTACCTGGGTTGTTGCAGTCGCCTCACTCATTCCCTGTCTCTTGTGCCCAACCAAAGGCTCTTTCTGGTTTTTTCCATATGTGCTAAAATTATCCTTCAGATATTTAAATCGGGTCACGTAATTTTTTTCTGTGTAAACTGCTCCAATAGAGACATCGAGTTCCTGCTTGAGATGTACAGAACTAGAAAAAGAGCCACTCCCAAACTTACAGCAGTAAGAAAGAAAAAAACCCCTCAAATGCGTGACTTTTACTGAACTCATCAGGCTGCTGAGGTCTTAAGGCAACCAGATGGTGATCTAAGGCGACACAGACGTTTTCTGGGAGAGGCCAGAGGCAAGCATCTGTTTGTCTGGGGCAGATGCAGATGCAGCTGCTAAGAGGAACCAGACACTTTTCATCCTAATTTCCACGTTTCCGACATCTCTGCATGAGGGAATTACATTCTGAACGGTAATTTCACAGACAACTAAAGTAGAGTCCTTTAACTTCTAAATATTTTCTTCTACCCATTTGCAATGAAAGGTTTCTAAAATGTGCTGTACTTCGCCCCGCTTTATTGGACCGAGTACATATACCAGGTACTGGGCTTTGGTAGGCTACACGATCTAGAACAGGTGCTGTACCGCGCTAGAAGGCTATCCTGTCCTCCAGGACGTCATACCGTGAGAGGCCCTTGAGTGCATTTAAAGAGATCATCCTCTGGGCGCCGGAGTGGCTCAGTTAAGCGTCCAACTCTTGAGTTTGGCTCAGGTCATGAGCTCATGGTTCGTGGAGCCCCGCATCGGGCTCCATGCTGACAGTGAAGAGACTGCTTGGGACTCTCTCTCCTCCCTCTCTGCCCCTACCCTGCTCTCTCTCCCTCTCTCAAGGTCAATAAACTAAACTAAATAAATACATATAGACATACATTAATAAATAATCCTCTAGCTGTTCTTCTGTACCTTCAGGAAAGCCCTTCAAGGCTGTCCTTCCCAGTGGCACAACACCTAGAGGAAAACCTTCTAGAGCAAGACAGAAGTCCCATTACCTTAGCTCTCAGATGAAAGGTACCAGTAGACCAAGTAGGAGTGGACTGGACTGGAAGCTGTCTAGGTCCCTGGTCAGTCTTGTACCCTTATGACTGTGCTCACCTGCCCTCCAGGGTTTTGAGAGCATATCTGAGGAGCAATACACCCACTAAACTCAAGAGGGTATGCGAGCTTATCCAAATCTGGTGGTGATGCTTTCCTAGAATTCTGTGTGGTGTGGTACCACGAGTTCTTTCTTAACAAAGAGCTCTTTGCTTCAGATCTTTGGATCACCAGAAATCTGTGAATGGACTCCAGTGAATTCACCTTGAAATCATAGATGAAATTCTGTATAGGCTTATGCCTGACTTTTCTGGGAAGGAGTTCCAATATTTTCATGAGATTCTCAGAGGCAATGAAATAGGCTGAGATGTTACCCCTCTAACTCTGAAGAAAAAGAAGTGATGAAGTGAGTTACGTTGGTCTTTTACACAGGCTCAGTCTGGGCTGAGCATCAGGTATAAATACAAGGGCAAGGTTATCTCTATTGGATCAGCGTCTGACGCATATGTAAGTGTATATCACACTCGAGTTACAATGCTTCCCACAAGGGGCCCCCGGATGGCTCAGTCGGTTAAGTGTCTGACTTTAGTTCAGGTCAAGATCTCACAGCTTGTGAGGTCGAGCCCCGTGTCGGGCTCTGTGCTGACAGCTAGGAGCCTGGAGCCTGATTTGGATTCTGTGTCTCCCTCTCTCTCTGCCCCTCCCCTGCTCACACTCTGTCTCTTTCTCTCTCTCTCTCAAGAATAAACATTAAAAGAAATTTAAAAAGATACTGTTCCCCACACAATGTCCTACACCTTTCCTTTCTTCACTAATATATCAGGACATCATTTTAGGCATCTTATTTTTGTGTTTATGGAACCGTGCTAATCTTTTTCATGATCACGTGGGATTCTTATGTATGGCTACACCACAATTTATTTATCTAGCACCCCACTGATAGATACCTAGATTTTTTTTATTGTAGTTTTGTTGTTGTTGTAAACCAATGAAACACTGCATATCTTTGTACATATGGCTTTGCACAATGTATGGCGGTGCCTTTTTGCTCATGCCCTTCAGACACAGGGTATTATTAATATCTTTTGGGCATTTTCCAGAATGATAGGTGAAACTAGGTGTTGTACTTTGCTTTTTATGTATTCCCTTAAAGATTTCCATATATTCATGGAGCATTTGTATTTATTTTTCCATAAAATGTGTGTTTACATTTGCCCCAATAAATATATTGTTATATATATATATATGTTATATAAATATAACAGTGTTACCTGTTATAAAAGTGAGAAGCCCAGAGTGACATGGGCTACAGCCCCCATTTCTCAGTGGATACGAAATTTGATCCTACTCTAGAACAAATTACTCATGCATCTATTTTCTTTTTTTCAATTTGTTTTTGCAGGATCTGTTATGGTAGCTAGAAATCTGCTAGAAAAGTCAATTGCCAAAAAAGTAATGATACACTGATGCACTGAGTAAAGATATATTAATATCCAAAGTAATATTTCAGGAAATACCAGGAACAGAACAAATTAGTAATAAAAACTTCTTTTTTGTAATATTCATTTATTCTTGAGAGAGAGCGAGCACTCAAGCCTGAGCAAGGGAGGGGCAGAGAGAGAGAGAGAAGGGGACACAGAATCCAAAGCAGGCTCCAGGCCTGACTCGGGGCTCGAACTCCCGAACTGTGAGATCATGACCTGAGCCAAAGTCAGGCGCTTAACCACCCGGGTGCCCCAGGAATACAAATTTCTATAACATGACTTCAACTTAAGTATGAACTGACTTAAGGAAATGTTCATAGTAATTACCATATTTCTGTGGGGTTTTTAAAAGGTAAATAATGCTTTTCTTAATGTCTATTTATTTATTTTGAGAGAGAGTGTGTGAGCAGGGAAGGGGCAGAGAGAGAGAGAGAGAGAGAGAGAGAGAGAGAGAATCCCAAGCAGGCTCCACACTGTCAGTCCAGAGCCCAACTCGGGGCTTGATCTCACAAACGTGAGATCGTGACTTGAGCCCAAGTCAAGCGTCAGAGGCTTAACTGACTGAGCCACCCAGGCGCCCCTAAGGTAAAGAATGCTTGGCTGCAACTACAGCTCTCACTATTACCCACAGAAGAATAATTTTATGTCCTATAGGGAAAAGTTGTAAAACTTTAAAAGGGTTGTGATTTCTAAATGCAAACTTTGAAGTTTTCTTCTTGAAGTCATCTCCCTGCAAGTTTTTGGCAGTTGCACAACTTTTAATATTTTACTGGATTCTTTGAGTGTATATTAAGAATGCGGTTCCATATGAAGAAGAAAGCTGAGCTCTGTGATGAAGGCAATGCTTAGTAGATCAGATGTTTTTCTGTAAATTTCAATATGGTTTTGATAAAATCATGGTTCCAAGTCAGTGAGTATTTGTTTTATTATTTGCACAGCTCAGAGCTAAATGTTTTGCCCAACTCACTTGGATTTGCCA